AAATATCAGGGGTCTGATATTTCCCCGAAGCCCCCAGCAGTAAAGCAAAAAAAAAAAATGTAATAAACATAAATTTAAAAAAATTAAATATAAAAAAAATAAAAAAGTTTATAAAAAAAAATAAATACACATAAAATATTTTTAAAAATGTGAAAAGGTTGGGGGAAAAAAAAACATTTTCATTTTCGGCCTGACATTTTTTTTAATTTTGGTTTCTTTTTGGTTCTGAAAATTTCATTTCGGTGCACCTTTAGTTAGAACCTCAGGTTTTTATCACTGTCTATGTTGCCCTTTGGCAAGACCCCCCCTCTCTTCTTGATTAGTCCCCAGGAGAGGAAGTATAAACAAGGACACATGCCTTAATTGTAGAAAAGTTATGGAAAACAATATAAACACATTGCTGGAAGACCTGCTGATTAGTAGGAAATATATTTTCTTGGACACTGGCAAACAAAAAAACTGTAGGCCAGCCCAGGATATCCTCTTCTATTACCAGCATGCCACAGCTTTTACTTAGTGTCCTAGGAGGATGGATGGTTTTTTTTTTCTCAGCTCTGGTGTGCAAAAGAGTAACCTATTTTTACTAGCACCATTTTTCTTATTCTTGTTTTCCTTCAATCAATACCTGTTTTTTGGTGTGCCCCATACAGGTCCTGGACATTGAGGGCATTGCCTGGAAGTGACCTTCGGCCACTGTGTCCTTTATAGGAGACTTTCTGGACTGCATTCTGGTAACAAGTTAGCTGTGAAGAACTTTCCAGGTCTATAGCTGCTAGCATTGCCTCAGCACTTGACCTGCTTCTTGACATTCCATTCATGACCGGAAAGGTTGGGCCAAGCACTGTGAGCTACCACATTTACATTGATTACTGGGTACCTTTTTAAAATTCCCCATTTTGTACTGGGTTACGCCTCGGAAGGGGGGTAATGCTGTGGGACTGAGTGCTGATGTTATCCACTTGGTAGAGTGTTGCATACACTATGGTCTCTCTTTGCTTCTGCTTGTAAAAAGCCATGTGGACACTGATCTTTGATCCGTTTCTGGTAAATGCCCACAGTAACTGTGGTCATCTTTGACCATCCTTGCCTAATAACCTGAACCTTAAATAGCCCTACTGCCATGCAGTTGCATCATGTCTGATTCTAGATGTGGGGAAACAGTCCCCCTATTGGGGGGCCCAAGCTTACACTCTACTGTACATTACTAATGGCTTTGGGGCTGCTAGCAGTGCGCCTACTGATTGTGCTAAAGTCTTCAGCCTAGAATGATGCTGCCCCCTGCACCTAGAGTGTATTCCATCCTCTTTAGTTCAGTTGTGTGTTTTGCCCATTTCCAGTCTTGGGGCCCCTAAAGCTGCAAAGGCCTTCCCATTGCACCCACTGTTCCAACTGGTCTTCACCCTATATAGGCCGTTAATTTACTTTGCAGACCATGGCTGACTTGTCAAAATCCCTTAACAGGGATCTCACTACTCCTACGGTTGATCGCTTGTCTATAGCACACATAGAGCAAATGACGGTGCCTTTAAACTCAGTGGTTTCTTTTCATGGAAATCAAACTCAGGACCCCAGCCACTAAGCTGTCATGTAGGCACATAAGAAAGCATTGCAATGAGGAAAACAAGTACCGTATTTGCATAGCCTCTTATATCATTTTTCTTATGTGCAAATCTGTCTTTTAACATGTGCCCTTGTTTTAACCAGAGCTTGCACTACTTTTTTCAATTGCATGGTTTTTGCACCTGTTTTGACCAGAGTTTGCACTACTTTTCCAACTGCACGTGTTTTGCACCTGTTTTCATCTGCACTTGTTCTGGGGCTGTATGAAACTGGAGCATCACCTAAGAAAACAATCACAACTTAAGAAGTCCCCATGACCACTTCTTCAAGAAGCGACAGATAAGCTTTCCTGAAGTCTATTAAAGCTCATTTATCAACAACATTACACCAGCATCATGCATCTGGTGCAAATATATTCCGTGCAAGTTCAAACACTTGTAATTGCTATGATAAATTCCCCCCAATTAATTTTTTCTTTATTTAGCCACCGAGTCATTTTAGCAACCAGCTTTATATGCAGCAATAGATGGATGATTGAGGGCTCGTCAGTATGAAGGAATGAATACATGTGAGTGATATGACAACGTTGTCAATCTTTTGAGGTGATTCGGGATATGGTGCAATAATTGAAACAAGTTTACAATAACATGAATTGTTTAAGTATACTGATCGTTAGTCTTCTGTAACGTCTCTGGTTTGTGCAGTAACGCTGTGTGCACACTTTAACCTTCTTTTCTTTTGTCGTATTTGCAAATAACGAACCTTTTGCTTTTTTTAAAGCATCTGGGAGTGTCAATCTCCTGGTCCCCAAATTTGCTCAGAGGTTTAGTTTGCTGGCCCCCCTACTTTGTTCTGTATTAATAAAATAGTCAAAGGAAGGAACCACTGAGAATACGTCATACTGCCAAACGTTTTGGGTGGGAAGTGAGATGACTTCAGTGGATGATTTGTAATGGTTTAAGAAGCAGAAGAGGTAAGTATTTACTTTCTCCATTGCAGGAACATCTTTTATGGGCGGTGTTGCTTGAATTTGGTATCAGATTTGAGTACATATCTTTTAATATTTAAAATGTTTTAATTTATTTTAGATTTGCATGAACGTGAAAGTGTGAACGGTACACATTGTGCTGTGTTAGGATCTATTCAAACCTTAGCATTTGACATTTGTTGCAGTGTGCTTTTGATGCGTTTTACATGCGTGGCCATTAAAGCATATGTAAACCCAATTGCTAAAATGTCATATTTCCTTTAACATGATTGACGGCCTTATCCACCTTTTGTAAAACAAATATGAATAAATATACACACATTGCATTTTTTTATTTCTTGCATTGGAGCCTTCAAAGCGTTTCAACCATGATCAGTGCGGTGCACAGGCTGCTGCAGTTTCTCCAGTACAGGAGGTACAGGCTAGGGATGTTCAGATACAAAGTACCGTACTCAGTAAAAGTACATGTACATATACTTTTCCAGCTCCAAGACCAGACTAGAGAAAATGTCAAAAGTTAGGAGGCAGCTGTCATTTCTAAGGAGCATACGGAGCTCCTGGGATTTGTACATCCCCATTTTAATGCATTATTTTTGTTTTATATATATATATATATATAAGTGATCCACCGATACCATTTTTACAAGTACTGATACTTGCCCGAGTACTCACAGACACAAGTACTAATACATTTTTGTTTATTGTCATGTGACAGTTTTTCTAAAACAATACAGACTCATGATTTCAGGACAGTGATGGAGAGCCAAAGCCAGGTCCTAGCTGCAACCCTGGTAGTTCTCGTGAAAATTCCAAATATCAGCACTGGTATCTGAACATCCCTAGTACAGGCCCTTAGTTATGGAGCTGGAGGAAGTAATCAATGGACTACAAGTGAGATGGTGCACCGCATTTGTGTTCCATTAAGATCTAATTGTAACCACTTTGCTAAAAAAATCCATTTGTTTACAGGTCTTAAATTCTGAAGCACAGATTACACACATAGCTGAATAGCGGCTTATTCCCTTCTCCTTGCTCCATGCAAAGCTTCAATTAGAGACAGCCTGAAAATCAATGGTCAAATGCTATGCTCAAATCCCTTCTTTTTTCCCATCCCATCTTTAGTCCCATCACGTGTTTATTTTTACAATAAAAATGTTGTATATATTTTGTGATTAAAAAAGGTATAAAAGATCATTTTAAAAACCTATCAATTCAAAGATATTTTTTTTTAACCTAAAACCACATATGTTCGCTCTAATTGCTAACGATCACATTCCTTGTTTTAGGTGGAAGGTGCTGCCTACCTGGGGTCTTTTGTCTATAAGACACAGAATATGGGTTTATGGAGCCGACCAAGAGGCGAGAACATGCTGGACGGTGGAGCTCCATTCTACAGCACCTATGTGACCTCTGATGGCAAATACATGGCCGTAGGTGCTATTGAACCACAGTTTTATAAAGAGCTTTTAAAAGGTAAGTGTATTGGAAGCTGTGAATGTAGCTTGAGTCAGCAACCAGTTAAAGTGTATCCCTAAACTCTATGAGTATTTATATTTTTTGCTTCACTTCCTGTTCTGGACAGGAAGTGAGTGGCTATGTCTCCAAAGTGAGGGGCTATCCTCTCTTAAATTGTTGTCACAACAATGGCCACCTGAGAGGGAAGATTCTCAATTAGCTCTATGCGCACTGCTAGTCACCCCTACTCATTTCTAAGAAAACAATTGCAGAAAAATAGAGATTTTTGGTTTGCATATATTGAAAAACAAAGCGATCTGGCGACAGGTAAGTCGCCAGGATCGCTTCTGTTGTAAAGCCGACAGTCGGCTCTACAAGTTTAAACAGACTCCCGGCGGCAAAAGTCGCCGGGAGTCTGTTTAAACAGCCCCGATGCTGGCGACGTACACTGTACGTCGTCAGTCACGAAGGGGTTAAGCTGACCGTCTCTGTCAAAGTGATCTCTCGCTGCCCAGTCACTACTCTACTTTGCAAAATGCCAAATATGTATTCAAACAAATTCTACTTTAATGGACTTATAGTGCCAATTTGGGTACATTCTCACTGTTGTTTGAGAGTTACAGGACCAGGTCTGGTCACTGACTGGTATTGTGCATTAGAACATGAAACAATGTCTCTGCACCAATCCATAGCTAACATACACTATATAGCCAAAGGTATGTGGACACCTCACCATCACACCTATATGGCCAACAGAGTGTGGAAACCTGACCATCACACCTATGTGGCCAAAGGTTTCTGAGCACCTGACCATCACACCTATGTGGCCAAGGATTTCTGCACATCTGACCTTCTCACCTATGTGGCCAATGGTTTCTCCACGCCTGAACTTCACACCTATGTGGCCAAAGGTTTTTGGGCACCTGACCATCACCCTTACTGTATATGGCCAAAGGTTTCTGGACCCCTGGCCATCACACCTATATGGCCAAAGGTTTCTGCACATGTGACCATCACACCTATGTAGCCAAGGGTTTCTGGACACAGCCTCCATTCTCCTGGTAAGACTTTCCACAAGATTTTGGAGTGTTTTATTTCGGAATTTGTACCCATTCGTGCATTTGCAGGGTCAGGTACTGATGTTGGATGGGAAGTCCTGACTCATTCCAGTTCATCCCATAGGGCTGAGGTCAGGCCACTCAACCTTCTCCACACCAGACACATCAAGCCATATCTTTATGGAGCTGGCCTTGTACACAGGGGCGCAGTAATAGTGGAACAGAAAAGGGCCTTTATCAAACTGTTTTCACAAGGTTGGAAGCCAACAATTGTCCAAGATGTGTTTGCTGTAGCAATAACTGCACCTTTCACCGGAAAGACCAAAACTTAATAATTTGGCACAGTGTATACATACTGTTGACCACATGAGGGGTGTGACCACATGTTAACATCTAAGATTCTCAAATAACCCTCTCCACACTGCCATACACCCCAAATGTCGGCAATACATGGAGAACTAAGACATATATGCAAACATTTGGCTGAAAGGGTGTAACAGTTGTATCCCATTGTATAGAGGGTTAACCGGGAATCTTAAAGGTGCTACTGTAGCTGTTCCCCGCTCTATTCAAAACCAAAAAAAGTTTGGTTGGTGATGCACTTTAATGGATATACAGGGTGGGAACCAGCACTGAGGTAATTCATTCAAATTAGCATCCGACCAGAAACTAGGCTGCAGAGGAAAGAATAAACACGTACATTGCAATATATTCCACGGAGTATAGAAGATAAGAAATCATGTGGAAAATGTCATCTAGGTTACAGAATATGACATTAGCTTGACGCTGATGTTTAATAATGTTTCTGTTCATTATAAAAATGAAATCTTCGGGAATAAACACGGAGGCAGAAGTCAGTTTGCAGTTTATTGACAGCAGGAACGATATCAGCCAGTCACACAAGCCAGATGTGTGGAATGATATTGCATGGCAAGCATTGTGTGCTCTGTGATCCATTCGATATGAAAACACTTCAGGGATCCTTGTCTTGCCATGCAGAGACCGTGATAGCTCCAATCAATGCAGTCATAGGTTTGATCTGCAGAAGCTTTACTGGTAGAAGGACTTTTTGCTGTTGGTATACTGAAAGCAGATAGATGTTCACTTTCCAAGGGAATTTTCTCTTAGCTTAGTAAATGCGGTGCAAGGAATACCCAAACACTCAGCAGAGCTTCACCTCATTCGCTAAGCTAAGGGAAAATTTACTTGCATAGTGAACACTCTGCGTGCCTTTAGTAGGGTCAGCCCCATTGTTTTCTTTTTTTTTAAACTTGCTTTACTATTAGATGCTGGTCATTTGCAAATCTCCTATCATTTAGCGGGAGGTGAAGGGGGAGAGCAGAGATAGAATGGAGCTGATATATACTGTAAAGGAGATGGGGTGAAAGGGTAAAATTTTATTATTCTGTATTATTTCTTGCTGCTGCTGCACTTTGTTTTCACCAGGAACTAATGAATGACTCGTCTATTCATTAGTTCCTTCACTTTCCCCTGCCTCTGTTGTAGGAGGAAGGGGAGGGCCTGGCAATGTAAACATCACCATGTGATCACTCTGATAACCAATCACAGTGATCACAAGCTACAGAGCTGAAGCCAATGCTCTCTGCTGTCTAATGACAGCTGGAGGGATTTTGCATGCGCGGAGCATGTTCACACAGGCAGGCCTGTACGTCCTCCCAGAACAATGGGGCAGCAGACTGGCCGTTTATGTACGCTAGTCGGCTTGCAGGAGGTTAATAACATTCATGGGAAATGTAAACTTTTCAGATTTGTCAGCACTACCCTCATGTAGTTGTCTTTTCTGCCTCTGATGACAATCAATGCAGAGCATTACTCTTCACAGTGATGAATATCCCAGCTGTGGAAAATTTAGGGCAACTACCGAGGATACAAATATGGCAGTTGTCATTGCTAATTTGGATTTTAATGATGCCGCAGGGCTGTCAAACAAATCCTGGCTTCATCAAATAGTACGTTTCTGACTTGTGATAAACATTCACAATGCACATTAAACTTTTTAGGCCTGAGCATTCTACCCTCTAAGGAGCTACATCATTTAGGGGTCTATAAGCAATTTGCAGAGCCGTTCGCCCTGTTTGTTCTGTGCGAATAAAGGCAATAACGGATGTTGTCAGTCTATATTTTTCAGGTTGAATGTACCATTTGGAAATATTGCATTATGGCCACTAGATGGAGCTGAGAAGCACAGGAAATAAATACTTCTTTTTCTATGGTCCTCAGCTTCATCTATTTGCCATAATGCGGTATTTTCCTGACATTACATACAAAGAACGTTTCTTCTGTGTGAATAGAGGCAAAAAACAAATGTTCTTAGTATAGTAGAGATTGACTGGGCGGATGGCTCTGCAAATTGTTTATAAATATAACCCCTGTTAGTGTATGGCAACCAACAAACATAGATGATAGATATGCTTCCTCTGGCCCTTTTAAAGTAACTTAGGTATTGGGCATATTATTTTTTATAAATAACCATGGTGCTTAGAATGCATTAACCATTCCCTAGTACAAGACTGGCTGTATATTTGGGCAAAAACGTACATTGTTTAGGAAAACAACTGCTGCCGGCTCCATGTAGCAGAGTGCAACTTTCCCAATGTCTTTCTGAGTAGGCACATGCTGGTGTGAACGGGCCTTAAGTCTGCCTCACTTTTTGGAAGGAGAACACGCAATAGAAGCACCGCTCCTGTGGGGGTCAGGAAAGGAATGAGCTGGGGGATTGCTGCTGGGAGCACCTCCTCACTCCGATATGAGCCCATCCAAACTGAAGAAAAAATGTCCGCACAGCAGATTCCACTGGGATAATTTATTGCATCTTGTACCACATCACTGGTGTCCCACCCAAGTTCCACCCCTGGACCTTTTGCAGGACACCAATGATGTTTTACAAGCTTCAATAATGTCTCCCAGTGGAATCTGGTGTGTGGCCAGCTTTCCTTCGGGTTGCATGCTTTCACACCTTTTGTTTGATGCATCTGGAATGTATTTAGCTGATTTCAGGTTACATTTCTATTGGGCATTAGGACCACCTCCATGTGCCAATTTCCGAAAATAAAAATCCACACCAAAGGCTATTTATTTCTTGTGTTTATTGTGCTGTAAAATGCATGTCTTCCCTACACACAAGTTAATTGGCTACATTTTCTATAATATTCTGTCTTTCCACAAGATGGCTCCTTTCTTTGTGCGCAGACAGAAGCATTTCTTGAATACATGGAATGTAATCTTTGAGGGAGAGACGTCTTCTGTTATGTAAGATTGCAGCCCTTTCTTTCTTCTTCCTTTCCTATATCTGTCAGCTATCTTTCCATGAATAAACACTGATTATCCCATGTGAATGGGTCCAGACTGCACGTGATGACTGGTGGCAGGATCTAGTTATTTAGGTATAATAGGTAAACTTGTGGCAGCACACTGCTATTTACATAGGGAGTGTGATTGATATCAAACTCACGTGAGGAGACAGGCGGCGGAGACAACACGGATGCTGTCACATGGCGCTCGCTAAGGTATTCATTGAGTATCTATTTTAGTCATATTTGACAGGAGCGCTCGCTATCATATGCACAATATTTTCCAGGTAAACAGATGGACATTGAACATACCTAGTAAAACACTTGTTATTATTTCCTTAAAGATGAAGTTTGACCTTTTCATATTTTGCCTTCCTTAGTTCAGTCCTTTACCCCTTCCCTTCATCAACATTCTAATTATTTTTTTTTGGTTTAATATCTTCTTAAAGCGGACCTTCACCCATATTTTTAAAATAACAACAAACACACCTTTAGAAATGTTTAGTAATGACAATCTACACACACATACTTCTAGATAATTGCCGGCTTTGTATTCTTTGCATACCATATTTCTCTTTTCTTCCCCAGTCTTCTGGCAGTGGCCATGATTACTAAGGGCAGATTGCTAGCTCTCCTATTACTTCCTGAATTTCTGGCTCAGGTGACTAGACATGTGACTAGAACATGTGACCATGCACATCATCTCACGGGAGGAAAATGCCTTTCCCTGAGATCTCGTGAGGTTACAGATGAGATTTCCCAGCAATGCTCTGCTGATGACAAGGCAATCCCAGTGTGCATTGCTTTGGAAAACTGAAGTCATTTTGCCCTTTCAAAGCAGGAAGTGAATGATCTGCATGTGTAAGTATTTCACAATCACAGCATTTTACACCTGACATGTCTATGATATGAATAATCATCATACATAGAGGGATGCATTGGTAGAATGTTGAGTGTAAAGGTCCGCTTTAAGAACCCTCAGCTCTGATTGAAGCAGTGGGCTGGCTCTTGAGAGGAGTTATGCAAAATAATAAAAGGACACGATGGGTAGATGTCAGTTTGGACAAGTGAGAGTTCTAGGCATATTGCATTTGCATGCAGATCATCCTAGGTAAGGACCATGTGCGATTCTGAGCCTCCGTGATTGAAGTGAAATCCAATGAATGAAAGGAATGGCCAGGAAGTGTAAGTACTTCAGAGGAAATGGCTAGATGATGCTGGACATCCTCCAGCCAGGTGATTAGGGGGCTCTATTTGACTTGTTGCAGCTTTTAATTCACATTGTGAGAAGCTTGCAGTGTGCAGTGAAATCAGAGTAAGCAGGTTCAGTGTAGGAGAGGAGTCTGAACAATGTGAAGGGAAAGCTGGAGATACAATATGTTCACTAATTGTGGGCAGCAGGAATGGGGGGAAGCTGTTTGCACCAGAAGAGTACATGGCTATCCATCCAGGAAGCCCGGGCCACTGGACTGGAGAATAGACCTGGCATACAAGCACAATGAGCCAATCGCACATGCAGAAAATGAGAAAAAGATTTTTTTTTGCTATGGTTGCAAAGAAGCGATTTTTTTTTTTTTGGTCTGTTTTTGAAAATAATTTCTAGTAAAAATGCACCGATACCAAGTATGTGGGGGAATACTCGTACTCGCCCAAATGCTCTAGATACCGGAACTTCTGCTACCAGGAAGCCGGGCGGCGAGTCATTACCCACCCCGCGGCTGCCTGATTGGCCAGGAAGCCGGGCGAAGTGTATTGACTTGCCACCCGGTTTCCTGATTCCTTGTCGGGAAGCTGGCAAATCAGGAAGCCAGGAGGCGTGTCATTACCCACCCCGGCTTCCTGATAGGCGGGGATTCCGGCTCCATGTTTTCTCATAACCTGGTCAGGACGCTGGCAAATCAGGAAGTCATTACCCGCCGCCCGGCTTACCTAATAGGACTTTCGGTATAGGCAAGTACCGTAAAAAAAAGGATCGAAAAACCAGTATCAGTGCATAGCTCATTTCTAGGTGCAAAGAGACTTTTCAATAACATTAAATTACCAAATGGCTCGTGTAGCTTGTATCAATTGTTTAGGTTTCCTTATGGGTGCATTGACACCAGAGTCGGAAGGCACTTGCCAATCAATGGAGGGCCCGTTGACTTGCGATTGCACCTTCCCGTTTCCTTCGGATCCATTGTGTTCCGCCTTTTTTTTTTTTTTTAGCAAGCTTTATGTGAAGTAACACGTCCTGAGTGGACATACTTCACCATAATGGCTTGCGATGCGTTGCGTTATGTGTGGCAACGCTGCAGTGTCAACTGTCCCCATTTTATACCCATTCAGATGCCCTAGCATTACCATCTATTAAAAACAGATGGTAATGCAACAGATCCGATGTGAATGGGGCTTCCACTAGAAAGCTTGTTGCTTTGATTTCACCTCCCAAACTTTTTACGGTTTCCGTTTTTTTTTCTGTGAAATCCAGTTGTGACCTTTTACCAAACAATGCAACAATTTTACAAAGAATGCGTGTCAATGAAATTACCCGAGTGCTTGAACTGACTCTCAGACTTTATGCTTCGTCTTTATCTATTTGAAGCAGCACATGTATTAGTCTATTCTGTAATAGTGTACCCACTGAGACAAAAGGCTTACCATGTGACACATAGTATGATCTTCCTGCTCTATTTAATAGTTAAATAGAGCATGCTTTAAAGTTTTCCTTGAGGATCTGAAAGCTTAACATTCTTTGTCTGAAGTTCAGAAATTCCTCTGCTTTATCAGATGGAACATTGTTGAAAATGGAGAAGAAAAAAAAAACATATCCTGAGAGCAAAATGAATAAATGTTGGACTGCCTCAATCAGTCACATGTAGTAGTTTTATAAGGCCTCAGTATTCATATATTCACGTGTGAAACCACATTGAACCCTTGACATGCAGTGGAAGTCATATTTGCATGATATTTGTAATACATTAATGCTAATGTTTTGTCATTGTGCATGTTAGCTTAGTAGATATAGTTTAGGCAGCTTCATCCAGAAGGAATATCTGTTTTGGCCAGATACCAGTGACCTAAACTACCCTTTGGCTGCTTAAAGTAACATTAAAGGATAAATTCTCCCCCCAATGCTAGTGTAAGGACTTACCTTAAATGATGCCTCTTGATCCGATCATCTTCTTCTGTCCAGTATTTTTCAGGAGTCCCTCAAGGGCTAGCGCTGGTCTCTGATCCAGCGCTGACTGCTGAGTCTTCCTGTCCCATGCAGTCTGTGCAGGTGCACGCTGCCGGGCTGTATGCATTGACTTACCCTGCGTCTCTCCTCGTCTCCTGGCTGAAGATCTCTAATGCACATGCGTCCACTCCATGATCCTTTGGGGCCGCCTGATAATTTTCAGATCTTTGGACGGGAGCGTGCGGTGGAGACACAGGTAAGTTACCCCAAGGGTTTAATTATCCTTTAAGCTGGGTACATACACAGTGAATAGGGTCACCAACGCAGAGAATTTTGGTTGGTTCCTGCTGAATCGGGTTAAATCCCCTGCGTTGGTGACCCTGTTGCCTCAGCAGCAGCCCATCATTAGATCAACTTTTGCCGAAGGAACATGTTGGAAAATCTTTGTCCGAATAAAGCTTGCAACCCGTCAGCTCCATTCAGGTATTCTGACAGCAGCTGGCGGCCAAGGTCAGAGTACATAGAAGCATTGAATGATACATAATACTATAGAAGCAGTGGGGGATTTGTCCATGTTGTTCAGCGTTATATATTTAAAAAAAATAGACCTGCGTATCGGGCGGGACGCGGCCGGGTATCACCCGTAGTGGATACCTCCACTCCGGGTGTAGGTGACATCATCGCGCATGCATGTGACATGACCACACGCGTGAGCAATGACGTCATCATGCATGCGCGGGGATCTTCTTGATGCCCGCCTTTTTAGTGATGGACACCGGCAGAGAGTGGAGGGGACGTCCACCCAGCGGGATGAGTTATGCCGCCGGGTCCCCTCCTCTCTACTCAAAAAACTCCAATGGTGTCACCTTGGTTCGGGCAAACCGCCCCCGCACCCCTCTTGTGACGCCACTGCTGTGTATACTCTACTTTATAGATATTCAAATGGTGAGATTAGCCTGGAGTAGTTTGCGTCCACCCTCACTCCCAAATAGTCATACTGAAGGTGTTATTTAAAGGCTATAAGTGCACATTTCTGACCATGTCCAAACCTGGTCAGAAGATCGCAGACCCCCCACTTACCTGAATCGTGGGGTTCTTCTCTTCGCAGGCTTATAAATTAAGTGCGGCTGTGTGTGGCTCCTTCCACACAGCAGCATCATCCATGCACAGATCCTTTGGCAGGATCTGTGAAAGGAGAAACTACAAATCCCGTCTGCCACCGAAGCAGAGGGACTTGTAGTTTCAGTGGGACTCAAGTGCTGCAACGTCACCGTACAATCTACAGTATTATGCAAGTAAAGCATTATAATTTCCTGTATGCAGTATTTAGCATATCATGTGGTGATGTATATCCTGTTTGGTTCCTTGCAGGCCTTGACATTGACGACTCTGACCTCCCAAGCCAGATGGACTTGAACGATTGGCCCAAGCTGAAGAAGATATTTACTGAAAGATTCCTGGAAAAGACACAAGCACAGTGGTGTCAGGTGTTTGATGGCACCGACGCTTGCGTGACACCCATTCTGACCTTTGACAATGTAGCGGAGCACCCACACAATAAAGAACGAGGTTCTTTTGTCTGCAATGATGAAGGGGAACTGAGCCCAAGGCCAGCACCAGTCCTTACCAGAACACCCGCTGTTCCTGCAAGCGGCAGGGATCCTTTCGTTGGAGAGCACACGTATGAAATACTTTCTGAAAATGGCTTTTCCGCTAAAGAAATTTCTGATCTTCAGGCTTCCGGAGCTATTGCCTGCAATAAGCCAAAATCGCAATTATAATTTCACTTACAGAACTAGAAACTGAGGAATAATTTAATTTAACAATACTGCCATTGCATTAAAAATTACTTTAAGAAAACTAGTTTTATTACAATTGCAAACAAATATATATTTTTTCAAAATATTTTAAAATAAAAATGAAATGTCTAATTTTCATGGTTGTTCTGGTTATTATGCATGAATTATATTTCATTGTATTTATACTCATTTCTCATGTTAAAGCAAACGATCACACATCTGGCTTCTGTGCCGGGTTTTTCCCTTTGCCCCGTTTCCGTGCCAGATTTCCCCTTTGTCCTAGCTGCTTAGCTGTCAGCCTATAGAAGGTCGCAGGTCTGGGAATCTGGCCTCCACCTTCCCTATTTAGTGTTACTTCACCTGCTGCTCAGGGCTGAGAAAATGAGTCTTTACTAGCTGCTGGACCCTCTGTGTTCCTAGTGAACTTCTGTGTATTCACACTCTGTGTGGACCCTGTCCCAACTTCCTGTGTGCTGCAGTTCTCCGGTGTACCCTGCATCACTGTGTCTCCTTCCTCTGTGAGGTCTCTTTCCCGTCTGCTGAGCTACTGTACCTTACTACTCGTCACCAAGTCCAATATCCCAGTGTTGTTCCCATTGCAGTTTAGTCAGTTGTGTCTGCACAGGTGTGTTAGAGGGCCACAACCTGAGAGCTGCCTTGCAGTGCAACATCCTCACCATTAGAGGCTCTGGAGAAGACCTGGCACTCCCTAGACCCTGCATCTCTTGCACACCCACGTTTACTGTGCAGTCACTCTGTCTCTTGTCCCCAGCGTCCCATCACTCCCAGAGACCTGTGTCCCTGCTTGTTCCAGTTTCAGGCAGCTCTGCAAAACCTGGAGCTCTTGTTCCCCAGCGCCTCGGTTCCCAGACCATGACACAAACATGTCACGAACCTGAGCAATTCAAACTGAGCAGATGATGAAAAGTCCAAAAAGGATTAACTGCATATGAAAACAGTCAGTAGATGTAGCGATGTAGACTTCTGTAGTTATATGTAAGTCTTGACCCTTCCTGTAAGGGTCAACATAAGCCTACCATGCTGCCTCCCAACCCTCCCTGTTCATTTTTTAGGGGAATATTTTTGCATACATTTGCGTTATATATTTTTATACACTTTAAAAAAAATAATTGCAAGAATATGTCATATATTGCATATGAAATGCAATTGCCTGCACTTAGAGCCAGTAAGTGGAACTGCAACCTGTTTGATTACAGAGATTAAAGTGATCAAGGTGCTGAAGGAAAGTGGGGATCAGAGACGTAGAAACAAAGTAACAAAGCAGAGCTTGGAAGAAAAGCTCATAAGAGATCAGGGCAGTAGAAGTTGGGTATTTGAGAAGAACAGAGTAGTAGGAGTTGAATCTCAGAGGAAAGTATGGCAGAGGGAGCTGGGTGTTGGAGGAAAGCAGGTCAAAAGGAGCTGGGTCTAGGAGGAGAGCATGGCAGAAGGTGCTGGGTCTAGGAGGAGAGCAGGGTAGTAAGATCTAAGTGCTGGAGGAGAGCAGGGCAATAGCTGCTGGGTCCCAGAGGAGAGCAGAGCATTGAGAGATATGTCACAGAGTAAAGCAAAACCTGGACCTGGAGTAATTAGAGCTAGTTACATAGGCTGAAAAAGACACAAGTCTATCAAGCTCAACCTAAAACCTGGGTCTTGAAGGTAAGCAGAGTAATTGGAGCTGGATCTCTGAGGAGAGCAACGTGCTTGGAGCTGGGTTTCGGAGAAGAGCAGGGTAGCATGAGCTGGTTCCAAAAACAACCAGGGCAGTGGGAGCTGAATTCCTGGAAAAGGTCAGGCTAATCAAAGTTGGGTCCTGGAGTAGAGAAGGGTATTCAAATCTGGGGTCTCAGCAAAAGCAGGATAGCAGGGTCTCTGGGGAGAGCAGGACAATAGGGGTTGCATCTCTGAGGAAAAGAGGCTAGTAGTAGCTAAATCCTGGAGGAGAACTGAGCACTAAGGGCTGTGTGGCCAAGAAGAGCAAGGGTCTGGGTCCTGGAGAAGAGCAGAGTAGTCGGAGCTGGGTCTTGAGGGACAGCGGGGTATTCAGAGTTAGATTTGATTTTAGGTCTTGGAGGAGAACAGGATAATCGGCTGGATTTTAGAGGAGAGCAGGGTAGTAGAAACTTGTTCCCAGATGAGAGCAGAGTAGTAGGGGCTAAGTCTTGCCAACATCCTCCTCCACCAAATCTAATCCAAAAGTTAGGGATGCGCTCCTAGACAGATGTCAACAGAACAATAATCCCCATTGCAATATTTGCCCTCATTTTCCTGTTCTTGTGGCAACCAATATTTGGAAATTCCTTTACTTTCTGTCCTACTGACATTGTTCACCGCAAAGGTTCCTGAGATTGCATCAGTACACTTAACACGCGCCTCCTGTCACAGTGACCAACTCCCAATACCGAGCAGTCTTTCCCGTCCTGCCCACTTAAACTTGTGAAAAATAAAGAAGCGATCCACAAGTGTACTCTGAATGCTCATTAACCATATACAAATGTGCTTCACTAGCTTTGTACCAGCATGCATGCTTCATCTCTCTTCATCTCTGCAGGGGCAAGTGTATCGGCTAAACAATCATGGATTTGCGGCTGGCTTTTAAAATGAACATAAGACTTGCTGAACTGCAAAGCACTCAAGCAGCTGCAATAACTTAAAAGGAGAAAGAGCTGTAACTTATTTAAAAAAGCAAAGCAAATCTTTATTCATCCTTTTTTTATATAAGCCCTTCTATTTGTGAATATTTCATGCAGGTCACAGATCCTTACTTAACAGTGGGTAATGCAAAGGCAGTCTAATAAGAATGACTCAGCAGATGACAGAAAGGAAGTCTTTAGCTTTGAAAGAGATATTTGACAATTGAAGAGTGAGCTTAAAGTGACATTAAAGTAAAAAAAAATCCCACAAAAAGCCGGGCGTTCGGTCCATGACCATGAGTCATTTTGGTGTCACCCCTCCAATGGTGGCACCCGGGTGCGGGCCGCACCCCCCTTGTGACGCCACTGGCGGAGACACATGTAAGTTTAAACCTTTTTTAATGTTTTTGCATATATCTACTGCTTCCTAGCAATAGGTATATGCAAAAACACACGAGGGTTTAAATACCCTTTAAGGGAGGAGGAGACTTGTAAGACGAGTAATAGATATGTCTCAGAAAGATCCGTTACTCTGACAAATTTTCGGAAATGAGTACATTGGGATGCATCCGAATGACACAAATAACGAATGCAAACCAATACAAATCTCCCATAACAAAAATTTTGGATGCATTCAAATTTCTTTCCCGAATTAAGTTTTATTGTGTTAAGCATCAACTTAAAAAAAAAAAAATAATAATTTTTGTTAGTGGTAGTATGTACGAATATTCGGCAAAGTGACATTTTTTTACAGTCCGCAGAAGAGAGAAAAAAAAGAGTGAGGTTCCCCTCCCGATTTATACCAGACCCTTGATCCGAGCACAGACCCGGCAGGGTAGGAAGGGGGTATACCAGACCCCGTGCCCTCGGCATTGGGAGGGTGTCCCCGTGCAGGTTAAGACAAGGGCCTCTTCCCAACAAATCTGACCCGGTGGTTGTGGTGGTCTAATTTGCATCGGGTTACCCCTTTAATTAAGGGGTCACCAAGATGCCGCCGCCCACCAATTTTTTGTCATTCTATATGTCATGCTGTACGTTCCCTATTCAACACCGCTCCACTCCATATCCAATGCTACACATTCCCTATTCCACAATGCCTCATTCTATAAGCCATGCTATATGTTCCCTATTCCACATCGCCTCATTCTATATGCCATGCTGTAAGTTCCCTATTCCACACAGCTTATCCCATACACAGTTCTGCACGTTCCCTATTCCACACCACCTCATTCTATATGCCCTGCTGTACGTTCCCTATTCCACACCTCCTCATTCTATATGCCATGCTGTGTGTTCCCTATTCCACACTGTCTCATTCTATAGGCCATGCTGTACGTTCCCTATTCCACACTGTCTCATTCTATATGTCATGCTGTACGTTCCCTATTCAACACCGTTCTACTCCATATCCAGTGCTACACATTCCCTATTCCAAAAATGCCTCATTTTATATGCCATGCTATTTGTTCCCTATTCCACATCGCATCACTCTATATGCCATGCTGTACGTTCCCTATTCCACATCGCCTCATTCCATATGCCATGCTGTTTGTTCCCTATTCCACATCGCCTCATTCTATATGCCATGCTGTGTGTTCCCTATTCCACATCCCCTCATTCTATATGCCATGCTGTACCTTCCCTATTCCACACTGCGCCTTTCTACGTGCCATGCGGTATGTTCCCTATTCCACACTGCACCTGCGCCAACCTTACAGGCCCAGCAGCTCTAGTGTATATCTGGGTGTGTGAGAACTGGGAGTCAGAAGTTTGCACTCGCAATTTCAGTGCTTTCCATAGGCTCTATTTACCATAGATACACCCCTGGACAGACCCCTTACATCTACCTTACAAAATGCTGACTAGGCACCGCCCAGTGCTGATCAACACCAATACATTTGCAGAGGGGTTCCCTAGAAACCTCTAATCAGAAAATTGTGTTGGTAGAGTGCTGGACCGGATCCTTGAAGTCAGGTAGAAGTTGTGATTCCAAAACTAAACAAAGCAGTTCCCTGTCATCTGCAGAATCCCTAAGGGTCCCTAGAGAAGTGGAGTGAATATAGGTTAAAAAAATGAGAGCACCACAGCACCTGCAGGAGTCCAGTTCACTTTACTCTGCAAGAGAAAAAAGCCAACGTGTTTTGGGGGCTCAGAACTCCCACTTCATCTGGGCTTACAATGCCGCCAATGATAAAGGATGGAACTGGACGGATAATATTTTTAGGAGGGGGTTGCAATGGTAAATGGGTCACCAATCAGGCAGCACCTGTTTATAGCTGCATCCCTATAAATTATATGTGTGTGTGTGTGTGTGTGTGTATAAATTCTTGTGTATTGTTGCTGTACAGTTGCTTTAATGTTGCTAAAAATTTTATTGAAGTCAATATTTTTTCAGAAATCACTCAGCTCATCCTTAGCAGTAAGGAGGGCTGGTTCGTACAATGCTGGACAAATCCCAGTAGCCAATGCTGCAAAGAAGGACTCTGGGCAAATAGAAACTCACCCATGCCACCTCCGAACTGCAAGGGTTAACAGGTAATTTTGTCTATGGGACTCAATTAAACCCGTTTTACTTAACTGATCCCGCCTCCTGTGGTGACCAGTGCTCAACTCTCTTCCCCTCCACTCCAGCTGTGGAATGACCCTCAGCGTCCTCATGTCTATGAACCTGCATAACACGTGATGACGTCAGTGGTCCTCATTACACCCGATCTCAGGGTAGAAAAGGCTGCGGAGACTGGTCTAGCCCCTAGACCAAAACAAGCACTTAACCCTGGCACTATGGGGGCTAGCCCCACTGCAAGGGTAAGTTTTTCATTCGCCCGGAGTCCTTCTTTTAAAATGACAGCTGGCCCCTAACTGTTGAGGGTTTCTCTAGTTTTTGCCTTTGAAACTGGCTCCTAAAACAAAAATCCTGCTGGCTCCTGGACTGGACAGACTGGCTCCTGAATTCCATATAATTAGCCCACTCCTGGGTTAGTGGTATGAGAGATGTGGGAAATGCTGATCACTGAATTCTGTATAATTACATTCATTTAGAGCTGTGTTGTCAGATGGAAGAATCTGGTTGACACCAGAGGTATTTTCACTCGGAGGTCATACTACATGTGACCCCAACGTGATGTGCTGGAATTCTGACTTCCCCTGGGCACAAGGAACGAGTTCACTCAATGCTTACACATGCTTGACGTCCTACACTGTGTGCTGTGTCCCTTTTCCCTGCACAGTCTTCCATCTTCATAGTCTGAGATGCAGGTTTGATTAAATAAGTGTATTGTGATATAAAGTGTATCTTTTTCTTGCTTTGGATGGAGTAGGGAAGGTATAAATCCCTGTCCGTTTTTTATTCCCAAGTCCCGCCTGGAGAGATTCACCCACCCTGCCCTAATGATTATTGCCCGGAATAGAAAGTGTGGAGAAATCCAAAATGTTACAGTTGTAACAGGAACAGGAGTAGAAGGGGGATCTTCCAATTCCCCTTCTATTCCTGCACACATGTACCTGTGACAACTGCCTAAGAGGGGGTGTACCCTCAATTTGGAGAGAGAGATTTCTCTAAGATTTCCTGTTCACACCTTCACGTTCCGTGAATATGCATCGTATCTGCGCGCATTTTTTCTGCAAGTTTGCCGCACGTTGCCCATTGGTTTCAATGGGTGCCTCACGTGCAGCGAACATGGGAAAGTAGCTCATGTAGCAGATTCTGCTACAGGCATACCATGTTTGTTTTTTTCACCATGCGTTTACCTTTTAAAAGCAGGCTCCACCCACTACAGAAAACTACAGGAGGAGGCGGAGACAAGACCAGTCACCCTTCGCTCGGAGAGAGAGCAGCAGTGAACAGTCTTTATTACAGGAAGCTCCTGCACAGGAGGAAAGTGCAAGAGTTGTTTCATGCAGGATTTCTGCACAGATGTGGAAGAAATACACAAAGGGCACCAAAATTCAAGTAAGAATACTCAAGTCTCATGTATTCAGACATTATTTGTTCAGCCTGCAGTTTGGCTTTAAAGTGACCTTGTCACAAGGCAAGTATGGGGGTGCCATTGCTGGTCTCTGGAAGAAAATGCCAGTTGCCTGGCTGAGTTTAACTTAAACAACTCTGAGCAATATAAAATCTTAACCCTTACAGTGGGGCTACCCCAGCACTGCAAGGGTTAAGCGCTCGTCTTGTCTAGGGAACTAAAATAACAGAGATATACTCACCCAAACCGTGAAAGGAAAGGTTATAACCCCTCTGTATCCCATGGGGGAGATTTCCTTTTACTTCCTGTCCAGTAGTCACAACAGGAAGTGAGAGGAAATCCCCGGTGATCTGATTTAGTGTCCCCATTGGAAACTGCAGAACGAGCGGGAGCTGTATCAGCCGCCAGCGCGTTCTGCGCATGCATGCCGCCATTTTGGAGTATATCTTGGTATACACCAAGATGGCAGCACCCGAATATGTGGGCACCGCCATCTTGATGTATACCAAGATAGACTCCAAAATGGCAGTGGAACACACTGGTGGCCGATCTGGCCGCCGCTCACTCTGCGAATAACGTCACCCATAACGTGGTGTCATGTGACGTTATGCACCCTGCCTCCAAGATGACGGTGGGCATGCGCAGAACGTGCACGCGGCCAATATGGCCGCCGTGCATTCTGATAATGAATTTTTATTTGCCCGAATATCGTTTTAGTATATTTGGGTATATAAAAAAATAAATCATTATTTCCGATTTGGACGAAACGCCGAATCAACTGAATTTTGTTGATTTGCAGGTTCGTCCGAATCCGAATGCACATGTCTATATAATATATCCTTGTAGTGATGGCCGGTGGGGGTCACATAGGAGGTGAAGGCCGCCGACTTCCCTGATAAGAGCGTCATATCCATGATACAGAGATTCTGCAGAGACAGCACATACAGGACTCAAAACCCGGGCTGTCCAAGTGAATCCGGGACAGGTGGCAACCCTAGGGCCTGGCAATGCATGAAAACACATTGAAATGCACTCTATATGTGTTTTCATCTGATATGGGCCTCACAGTACATCAAAACGCACAGAAAAATAAACACGCCTCTTTTTTCAAAACGCAGAGCAAAGATGTAAACGGGCTCATTGATGAACACGTGTTCCTATGACCCATGCCTTGTTTTGAGTTCTGACACGAGCTCTAAAAACGCAGAGGTGTGAACAAGTCCTTACCCCTTTATTAACTCTTATAGCCAAGGTCTCATATTCTATAATGATTCAGCGGACAATCACAGGTCAGTCACGCTTTCCAGAATTGTGGCTATGAGCTAGACACGTAACCCCGCAAAAAATGTATTTAGTTTTGGATCGATTCAGATTTTTATGCCTTTTGTTTTTCACATCCGAAATTCAATTCGGTTTCTGATTTGGATGTTGTATCTGTCCCAATTTTCATTTCAGAATGATCCACAACAGGAAGTCACATGACCGTGCCTGTAATGCAACCCCCAAGAGCCAAAAAAAAAATCTGATTTGCCAGAAAACAGTCACATGTCCGATTCAGTTTCGTTTTGATTTGGATCCGAATTTTTGTTAAATGAGCAGCACCGAATGTACGGATTTAATGAAATTCATACGAATATCCATTCGGAACAAAACAAAATTGACATGTCTACTAAAGGCAGCAATCTACAGTTGCATCCATAATGGCAGCTGCATTGGATGGGAAGGAATGAGTGTGTTCATCTTGTGATATCCCGGCTCCCTGTGAATGAATAGTTTGTAAACAGAGAGTAGGCAGCCCGGGGAAGTGGAATGGTTTGCAGATTAGAACATTCACATGATTATTTCTTTTCCTCTCTCTCTCTAACTTGTGATCTTCCAGCTGTGAAAGGACTGCAGTCACGCCTCTCATAAAAAGCGGAGTGGAAGTTTGATCCTCCTCCACAACTAATCAGCAGTCACTGGACCACCATGACACTCTCCAAAGATGTAGAGATTCAGCAGCCCGCAGCCCACATGGACAGCGTGAGCCTACGTCCACCTCGCAAGGACATGGAGTTCGCCAGCAGCGGTGGCAGCAGCCTTGAGCAGATGGATGGGGGGGTCTTTCAACTTGTGGAGCCCCCTAGAAGGTCCACTGGCAGGCTGATCATGCACAGCATGGCCATGTTTGGGAGGGAGTTCTGCTACGCCGTTGAAGCGGCCTTCGTGACTCCGGTTTTGCTCAGTGTGGGCCTACCTAGGAGTTTGTACAGCTTTGTTTGGCTCATCAGCCCCCTCCTGGGGTTCGTTCTACAGCCAGTGGTGGGCTCCGCCAGTGACCACTGTCGCTCCCGCTGGGGGAGACGCAGACCCTATATTCTCGCGTTGGGGATTTTGATGGTTTTGGGGATGACGTTGTATCTCAATGGAGACACGGTCATATCTGGTAAGTCAAGCCCTACTTTATTTATTATATTACAGGATTTATATAGTGCCAACAGTTGACATGCCGCTTTACAAAATAAACGCAGTACAGTTATAATACAAGAGGATTAGGAGGGTCCTGATCATGAGAGCTTACAATCTAAAAGGGGAGGGGGTGATGTATTTTATCCCATGATGCTACAGCTACACGTGTGGTTTTGTTTTTTAGTTGCTTAATCACACTACTAAGCCGCCATTCACATATCTGCGATGCGGGAGCTTGGCGATACTGCAAGCCATCCTGCACAGCATTTTGCAAAGTTAGGTGCCCTGCAGTGTCATTACCTTTTTAATGGCACCCCTGCGCACCTATCCATCGCATGTGCGTTGCATAGCACCACATCGCATAGTAACCCCGCGGAGGGCACATGAGTGTGAAATGCAGGAGCCAGTTTGTCCAATCCAGGAGTCGGCTCCATTGACACCAACTAGAGAAAACCTAGGTGCCAGCTGTCCTTTTTGGAGGGCATTGGCAACCTGGCTCCTAGGATTTGTCCAGCCCTGTAGTAAACTATCACCATGTGGTATGATGCATCATCGAAGAGATGTAAATGGAGACTAAGGCCGGCCTTGTTGACACATGCTCCACCTATGTTGTGGAAGTGTATACACTTGCCTTTAAAGTCCTCACCTTCTCATAATGCTAATTGCCTAGAAGTAATACTTATACAAGGACTTCATCTTTGAATGAGATGATGCGTGGTCCTATATGGGTTGGACTTGATGAACTTATGTCTTTATCCAACACCAAATACTATAACACTTTTTAGGACGCTGGCTTTGAATAAGTACACTGGGAGTTCTGACTTGCTGTATGCTGTTCTGAATTGTTAACTCTGGAAGTAATATTTTTAGAGCCAGCCAGGCAACTAGCTTTTTCAAAGTAGGGTCAGCAATGACAGGCCCTATATTTCACCTGGGCCTTGTACATATGGGCTATAAGTCTTAATGAGAGAGCTCGCTGTCACTTTAATGAAGCTGCTAGCAGGCTTCAGAGCTAATTAAAGCTCATTGAAAGCCTGCTGTCTAGTAATCGTCATTTTCGCATGTTAATTTTATTGCTGTCAAATAGGGGCTAACAGATGCAGTGTAGATATGTGCGATTTTTGTTTAGTTCTGAATTGAAATCCGTACGAGTTTCTGTAAATTCGGATGCATCCGAATTTCTGAATGACCGAAATAATCCGAATTTTTGATTGCTAAATTCAGATAGACGAATTTCATTCGGAACTAAACACAGCAAGGGGCGCTATGGCTTCTCTGCACGTGTATCTCAAATGAAAACAAAGTAACAGAATATTGTTACAAAATGTAAAAAATGAGAGATCTGTGTTATTTTGCAGCAGCCCCTGCTTCTTTGAGGACACTTCCATCCCCAATGTAAATCTGCTTCTAGGTTCCCCCTCTCATAAAGGGGCACCCAGATGCCGCCCCCCCTCCCTTGTGAATTAGTGCAGAGTACTTGTACCCCTACTCTTCCAATTCTGAGGGCATGTGCTCGCTCGTCCCCCCTTCCTGCCCTACCAGGCTGCTGCCCACATTAAGGGATTTCAGGGGGGACCCCATGGTTTGTTTAATGGACCTGCATTAAATGTGATGACATCAGTGTTCCTTAGACCATCCAAGCCCAGGAGAGGAGAGCCTGTGGGGACCGATCTAGCAGCCAGGAGGAACCAGCAGGACCAAGGATCAGGTGAGTACATCTGCTCTATTTGATCCCCTAGACAAAAATGAGCACTTAACCCTTGCAGTGTGGGGGTAGTGGGAAGCTGGAGTTTTTTTTCCCCCCTCTAAATTCCTCACGTTGAGTGCTCAGTGATGATGAACCTGGGCTTGGTGCAAAACTTTGACCAACACCCCTCAGTTGCAGCAGGCACATGCCCTGCTTCTCAGCTACACGTCACAATGAGCACAGATTGTCCCTGCCACAACTGATGCCACTGATTGGGCCGGGGGTGGCGGTCATTGTTTTGAGCAGGCTTGGGCAAACTGAGTTCACACCAAGCCCAACTCATCACGAACGCTGGAGAACCCAGTTCTCGGAAGCCCTCGCAAAACTGTTAGACCCCCCCCCCCTCCTGGGCCAATCAGTTACATAGTATTTGAGGTTGAATAAAGACCTAAGTCCATAAAGTCCAACCTATTGCTGATGTGTGCGTATGTATATATGTATGCATACATACATACATACATACATACACACACACACACACACACACACAGGTCCTTGTATCAGTTCATTCTTAAGTGTACCTGTACACCTGTATGTTATGGTGTTAACGTGAACATGTTTAAATTTAGTAGTCGTGTCTCATAGCTCTGGTCCTCCATTCCCCTAATTAGTTTGGTTGCCCTCCGCTGGACTCTTTCAAGCTCAAGGACATCCTTTCTGTGGACTGGTGACCAAAGCTGGACCGCATACTACCAGATGAGGCCGGACCAACGATCTATAAAGTGGCACAATTATAGACTTGTCTCTGCAATAAATCCCCTTCTTAATACAGGACAGGACTCTACTTGCTTTGTTTACTGCAGCCTGGCACTGCAAGCTATTAATCAATCTGTGGTCTACTATGACCCCCAAATCTTTTTCTATTTCTGACTTCCCTAGTGGCATACCCATGATTGTATAGCCCATTTGCTTATTTTTAATCCCAAAGAGCATTACTTTGCATTTATCGACAAAACTTAAAGTGATATTAAACCCTCAGATTTTTGAACATAAACCAATACTATAATGTGTGCCTTACTGTAATTCATGGTAGTTTCCCTTCTCTTTGCTGCTCTTCCTTTTTTATATCCTCATGTCTTCTCATGCTTGGGGAGAACTTCCCTTTGCAGCTGAGTGCCTCTTCCTGTAGTGCTGGTTAAGGTTGTGAACCTGCACACAGACGCCATGTATCCATTCCTGAGACAAGGCAGTCTGCTGCAAAACAGAAGCTCTGCCCAGCATGAAAACAGATACAGATTTAAAAGGAAGAGCAGCAAAGAGAAGGGAAACAACCATTACAGTATTGTTTTATGTTAAAAAAATCTGAGGGTTTAATGTCACTTTAAGTTTTGTCTTTGTAGTATCTCGGTTTCCGTCAACCACTGAAGTATATTTTGTGCTGAACTATGTGTTTTATCATGTACGTCAAACGCGTTTCCCTCCTGAGTGTATACTGAGGAGAAAAACGTGTTCAGCGCCTCGGCCCTCCTTGTCATTTGTGACTATCCTCCTGTTTTTGCCCTTTCAGCTGAGACATTCCTTGCCCTGCAGCTACACGTCGCAAAGGGATGGGGAATGCCCCTGCCACAACTGATTGGGCTGGGAGGGGGGTGTGTTGGTCACAGTTTTGCGTTGGATTGGGTAAACACCGGCAAACTGGGTTTGCTCCAAGCCTCTGTATGCATCTGTACAAGCTTGCCATACACATTGCTTTTTCACATACTAAAGCCCACATGTACAAGGCCCTATACAGGATTCCTTTCAGCTTGTAGAGCCAAGTCTAATTGCATTTCTTTAAAAGTGTAATTGCACATTGTTAAAGCATTTTAAAAGCTTGGTCTTAAGTGTTTTTGCACAGGTATCAAGCTTCAGACGTATTTGTTTTGGCCCTTGCAAAGCAGTTCTTCAGATGCGTAAACACTTGTGCCTTCCATTTCCAGCCTTTTACATTGAAGTCTATGGAGCTCAAAAATGCACGCACGTGCCTCTTCAAGTGACCCAGCATAGAAATATGAACAGCTTCAATAGGCGTGTCAATGTTGAGCATTGTGCATACAGAAATATGCGACAACACACAACAAAAAAAACTTAGGTGTGAATGGGGCCTAAACAGCAGTGTGTGCAGCCAAGTTTTAACAAAGCTGTTTGGGGGTTCCTTGAAGCCTTTAACCCTTTAGCTACCAGAGTGGTTTTTGTCTTTTATGCACACATTTTAAATTGCTTAAACTCTCCCCTGAGTTATATATTTCCTGAAAGCAAAGCCCCTGTAGAATAAAATGGCGGCAGCTGCAAATTTTGATCTTGCATAATATTAGCGCAGCTCTTTATCATGTCCACATTTTCAATAAAAAATAGACAAGTTGGTTTTAGTGCGCAAAATCTCAATATAATACCCAATCGTTTCTAAATATAAAAGATGAGGTTGTGCCGAGTAAATAGTTACCCAACATGCCAAGCTTAAAAATTGTGGGCACCTGCGAAACGGTGCAAATAATACGGGATCTTAAATTGTACAAATATTATAAGGACCTGTACAGGACATCAGTTTAGAGGTAACTGTGAATATTGGCTCTAGACTTATTCCTCTCACTCTGTCGCATGCGGCAATATCTAAGGTATGGCACAATCGTTTTCATACGTAAGGTATGGCACAATCGTTTTCATACGTAGGCAGACCTGACGCATGTTTGTATTAGTATGTGCATGTTGACTGGGGCTTAAAAAAAAAAATTGGGGGGCTATTTTTACTTTTATTTAACTTAATTTTGTATCTACTTAATTGTTATCACATAGGGGGGCTCACAAGCATAGGACGTCACAGGTTCTCTTTAAGGTTAGACTAGGGGTCTATTGGACTCCTAATATCACCTTTGCACTTCTCTAGCCGGGGAATGACCGCTAAGAATCCGGAAATTATGCAATCCGTGCCGCATTCAGCGGGGAAGAAATCAGCAAATGGATGTTCGCTGGTCTCTGCGCTACCCAATTATACCCATGGTACAGATCCCAAGGCCACAGGAGGGCAGCGGAGCCAAGGAAGAACGGTGGGGTGGGGGTAGTTCCTAGGTTTACTGGCCCCTGGAAGTGATCTGGCAGCTTTTTAGTCGGCTTTATACAGGTGAACAATGATAGCCGCCGGGAGTCTGTTTTTATAGGGGCCCAAAGCCAGTGTAATAATGCTTACAGTGCTGGCAGGGAAACGGTCAAAGCACTCCAACTACAGTGTGAGGAAGTTAAACATATGAATTTGG